TATTTAGCTGTGTTAACATACTGAAAGACGCATTCGATTAAATCGCATGTTTTGCGTAAGAGTCGCAGAAGCAAATTCGGAAATCCAATCAGCTCTATCGGCGGCAGCCAACAACAAAGTGGATGTGGGCGTAACGCCCGAAATTAGGTAAATTACCGCATGTGTCGGTTACCGGCTGCGGGCAGACGCCGTCTACACCAGCTCTCATCCAAATTCTCGCACCCCACATGCCCGACTTTTTTGTGTGTGTGTTTGTGTGCCAAAAACAGTGCCAGCGATATTGGGAGAGACCACAAATTTCGACGGCGCCGACAACCCGATGGGGGCGTCTGAGTAATGTGGCCCATTTTGGTCCTGTGCAAACATTGCGGGCGTGGCATTAAAATTTCGATTATCTAACGCAAAATGGCTGCACAATTTAATGACTGATTTGTGTATTGTTTTCGCTGCTATCAATTCTAAAAAGTACGCTTTAAATTTGGACACTTTTCGTGTTCATTTTGTCGAGAAACAACAGAAAAAACAAACAAAATAATTTCGACGTCAAGTTTACTTTTCATTTCGGCGGTTGCAAGTCTATATATATATATATATATATATATATATATATATATATATATATATATATAAATATCTATATGCTGGCGGCCATAAACTTAATTTGCTGATTACGAAGTAACCTCATCATCATAATTTATGAACCAAGGTGATAAGGGCCAAAAGGTTACTTGACCAGAACACAACGCTCACTCAATGCTCTAACAAAAGTAATGCGAGGCATGAAACAAGATTATGAACCCAACTATATGTTCCCGAAGGAACAATAAATAAAGAAAGTATAAATAGAACATGAATATATTCTTAACTTCAAATTGAATTCTTATTACTAATGCACAAAAATCTGTCTGATCACACATCAAATATACCAGCTTTTGAATATGCATATATTATTTAATATTATTTTGTCGAATGTAGTTCATTTGAAGAGTTGAACATTATAAACATATAGCTACATATGTCCGGCAAACGTTATGCTACAGCTGAAATACCCAATTTTTTTATGTTTACCTATATAAACAATAAAAATTATTTTAAAAAAACCAAAGAATTCGGGGATCTGACTGCCACATACTCTACTCTTTTACCATTGCACTTAAAGCAAGAAACAGCTTTGTTCAACAAAAAGGAGTAAGCTTTTTCTACTTACAACTAATAATATATACTAGAACATCTTCTGGGCTGATAATCTGCTTTAGTTGCATTCTTTTTCATTGCAAATTGTGGCAGTTATATGCAAAATTTAAAAGTCAAAAGTTTTCTGAAATGGACGGTGAGCAGATAATCAATATTATATATAAACAAGAGCATCTAGAGAAACGCATATTCATATTACCACGATATCACTATTACCACGTTCAGTCCGTTTAATAAGTAAGGGCTATAGAAAAAATGGAAACGACAACAGCAGCAGCCCGAGCGGCTCTGCGCCATTGTCTTTGGCTGGAGGGCATGTGGCGGCAAAGGACAACAGAGACATCTAATTACCCCGAAACGGGTCGCAGCTTTTCTGTTTAGATATTGTGAAGTCAAGAGAGCATTTCACGCACACATGGCCCACAAAAAAAAGAACAAAAAAAATGAAAAACCCATACAGCTTACATGACTGGACGCTATGCATTTTAAACTACCAAATTAGCGAGGCGCCCAAATATGTCACACGAGTATGCGTATGCATGGAAAATGTTTGTGTATATATGTATATGGATGTGGTCTTACGTGTATTCACAACACTATTTATATGCTGTGCTTGAACGGGCGCCCCATTACAGTTTTCAATTAAAAGAGCCAACGCAATTTTGAAAAAGCGCACGCGCCATTTGTATTCTTATGCCCTTTGTCAGGGCATACGAACTGTGTGGCATTGCTCGCAATCCTGGATCCTCAATATTGCTTATGAATTGGCATTGTAATTACCTCTTCAAATTTATTTTAATAACTTCACTTTTAGTTTAGAAAGGATTAATAAATGAACAAATGAATAGAGTACACACACATATTGGAAATTATTGTAATTGAAGCATTATTATTAATTATTTTTAATGAATTATTTGCATAAATCTAAAATTGATTTAGTTCTAAAATCTCGTTAATTTTCATAAATGAAATATCGTTATTACAACTTTATTATTTTATTTATTATAAATAGATCTCACTCTTCATCTCTCTCCCTCAATTTCTCTCTGTCTCACGCTCTCTCTTTAAGAAATAATTTGTTAAGTGTATGTCCGAATCGACGCTTTGATATTAGTTTTTGCTCTTTGTTTTGCTTTTTGTTTATTTACGCTAGATCCCTGGCGACCGTTGGCTTCACCTGAACCTGGCCATAACCCCAGCTGGCGTTGCTTTTTTATTTTAGATAAAAACGTAGGACTTGCCAACAGGGACAACAACAAGCTGAACAACAACAACTGCCACTAAACTGCTAAAAAATGCAAGTACAAATATTTGTTTCTTGCTTTGTTTGTTTGCTTGTTTGTAAAACTAATGAAATTTTTGCAATATTATCCAACCGGCTGCTGACCCCGAAAGACAACAAGAAACCAAAGAGAAGTTGACCCCGCAATGCCAACAACAGCAAAAATTAAAAGAAAAATACAAAAAGAGGCAGCGAGAAAAATTAACGCCACCTAACCAAAAAAAAAAATATATATATATATATATATATATATATGTATGTCTGTTTGTCTGTACAGGAGCAGCAAGTGCTGAAGCCAAAAGACAAAGCCAGCGGCTGCACTCAGAGAGCCAGTCAGAGATTATTATTATGTCAAGTCACGTTTATGAGCGTAATTTCGGCAAGACGCCCAACCACAAACCAGCTATAACTGTATGTGTATATATTGAAGTATGTGTATGTGTATGTGTATGTGTGTATGGAACACCCAAGCAGTAGAGCAGGACCCACGTAACTGTGCCCGGATGCTGTTTGTTAGGACGACATTGCAGCAGTTAAGTCGCAGCCCGCGGCCAGTCAATAAACCGTTAAAAAATAACTTGAGCGACGGTAAGGATTTCCATGTATATTTGAGCAGCCATCGCTAATCGACTACACAGTATATATATTCGGCATTAACTATATAAGACGACCAGTATATATCAGTAACAGTCGAAGTCTTTTCATTACCAACGCTTGCGGTTAAGAAATACATACATATTTCCAATGTGTTTTGGATATATACTTAACAATTTTATTGTGTATATAAAAATTGTAATCTTAAACTATTCGAATTTCAAAGCCAACTATGTCTCTTGAAAAGTCATTTAGAGCGACTACCGACAGTTATCTAAAAGCAAAATACTTTTAATTTCCGTATGGTCTGCGAATTATCTATTTCAGTTGGTTGCAAAGGACAACATAGACAACTAATTACCACGGAATGGATCGCTTATTTTTGTATAAATATTGTAAAGTCAAGAGAGCATTTCGTAATGCATTAATGTAATGTGTTTTTATATTTGAGGTATGCTTGGCTACATTCAAGCAATTAGCAACTCATTGGTTTTGTGCTAACTTATGAGCTGAAACCCATAGGCTTATCAGGCAGTTATCGAAAACATATAAAAGGACGAATTCAGGAGAGAACATTTAGTACACTCGAAATGAAGCAACAGATTTGGAAGTTACTAATAAAGTCATTTAATTGCATCTCTCATTTTCCGATTATTTAAGCAGACCAACCAACGGACAGACAGATAGACTGACATGAATTAATCCTGATCAAAAATATATATGTACTTTATGGAGTCGAAGATGCTTCCTTTTGAAATATATTTACCCATTTTTAGTAGGTTCACGATATAACGAGAACCAATTCAACAATCTGAGCAACAACAATTACAACTCAACAAAGCAAAAATGCAAGTACAAATATTTGTTTGTTGCTTTGCTCGTTAAACTGTTCGTAAAAGTAATTAAGTTTATTTCATGTAAGCCAAACGGCTCTTAACTGAAGATTAGAACCAGAAAACTTAAAAAGCGGCTTGAATATTTGCCAAAACTTTGATGCATGTTTTAGACCAGTTTATCAATTTATCAATCTTGTTCAAAGGCAAATTCAGACATAAATGCGTTCGTGCTAAACTCTGGGTAAGAAAATATGAATTCAACTACGAGTGATAAGACAGCAAACAAGAATTTTTACTACATTTACTATATCACATTGTAACCATAAAAATAATATTAATTTTATGAATAATGTTTTTATTAGTTTTCTAAAGATATTGCAAAGTCTCCAATGGAAAGTATTTGTTTTGGGAGCAATTTGTCGAAATCTAAATGGTATCTGTGACTTAAATTGGAGTATTACAAATAACATTGTACAAATGTATCAAACATGTGTCATATATATGCCAATACATTCCATGAACAGCATTCAGAAAACAACTCTTTGTTTTATGAAAATTAAATACGCTTTTAGCGGTCAGTAGAGTAACTAAGGCATAGAAATTGGACTGCTTTTGTTGAATCCAAATTCTATGTTCTTGCTATAATTAGAGATGCGCAGTATTTCGTGCGCAATGTTTCTAAATTCTATATTCTATATTTTGTGTTCCTTATTCAATTTTCTATATTCTACGTACTATGTTCTATGTTCTAAACGTAAGTTTTGTCTTTTGGAACGAAGCAGTTTCATGTTCTATGTTTTTGCTTTCGATGTAGTTTGTCATTGCACTGCTTACAATGCGCACTGCTTGTGTGGCCTTCACGCTTAGACCTTTTGAAGTTTTTCACGAAGCTCTGACAAAGCTTTTACGTTAATACTTGGTTTTCGAACCCCATTTTGAAAATATAAAATCTTAAGCAAACTCAAATATCGCCTTACTGAATAAGAAGTTAGAATGAGGGACATTTGCCAGCAAATGCATAGCATATGCAAGCCAAGTCAAACAACAAACAAAAATAAAAAATAAAACATAGCATAAGATCACCAAATGGCATTTTTATTGATTGATAGATTTACAGAGTCAATTCGACACATAATGTGAGCAGCAAAAGCGGGGCACGTCGACAAGAACAAAATAGCAGAGCTCAAGGATACTAATAATGGAGCAGCCTAAGCAGAGCTGGCAAATAGCGCCAAAAGAAACTGCAAGTAAGAATTAAAGGTAAAGATTAATAAATATTCAACAAATGTTGAAGTTATTAGTTTAAAAAATCAAAAAACTATAAACATATTTCTTACAATTGTGCTAAGATATTTTGCATGTTGTTGATTTTTTCTTACATAAATAATTTAGAATACACAATTTAAAAAATTTACAGGAAGAACATAAGCATTTCACAAAGTTTAACATAAAATAAAGTCGAAACTTTAAAATTGAACAATTAATTAATAGCAGCGAAATCACCTACCAATCAAGTCCATCCAGCTATATATTAAGCTAGTCCTGTACACAAGAATAATGTTTTGATTATAGTAAAAATTGAGCAACATGGAACGGTTAGTTATGCGCAAGGATCCATTGTCCACTTGCCATAGTCCACTTAAAACTTGACGCTCATCGGTTATCAGCGTGAGTGACTTGCAGTTGTACACGCAATCGCAAATGATACCGGTTCCATTCTGGATAACATACGACTCCTCTCCGGTCTGCCCCACATTTTGAAAGAGATGATTGTGTGCCGCCAGGCAAAGCACATCCTTCAATTGGCATGCGACATGATCGGAAGGTGGATAAAACAGGTCCAAGGTGCAATTGCAGTAGCGCAGCATGTGACGCTGCTGACACTCGGCCAGGCAGTTCTCCATCCTATACTTGTAGCCCTTTAACGTCTGGAAATGGTGACCTTCATGCTCGTAATCCAGCAGGCATTGACGTTGCTGGCTGCTCATCGAAAAGGTGTCCTCATCGTAGAAATGATAGACGGCACTTAGGCCGATGTCCGTGTCCGTATAAGGCATCAAACTAATGGGGAAACTGTACCAATTACCTGGCTCCACAATATCGACCTAGATCATTGGATATAACACATGTTAATATTTTTTTAATTTGATATTTTTGCGCATAGAAATAAAAATAGTATAAAATCTAATAGACTGTCTTTTCCCACGAAATCATTAACTACTTTTTTAGTAATTTCTTCCATCTTGAAACAATTTGATACAAAATATCAGAGTTATAATGGAAGGATTTGTATATAATTCTTTTGTTCTGTATATCGGCCAGGAATCAAGCAACTATTCTGACAATCTCGACTAGAAAATATTTCATCAATTAAGTCAGTCAGGTAAATGCATACTAGGTGCAACACTTATACGCACCACAAAACCCTTGGTCTCTCGATTGCCAGGCGCATGCCGCTCCTCATTTAGCAGTAGGCGAACAATTAGGCCCGTACTCCTTCCCGTCTCCGCACTGGCACGTTGCTCCTCCTCGTTGAAGGCCAGACAGGGCCCTTGGGGCAGACGACGTGGCCGAAAGAGTTCACAACAATTACGATACTGCGTATGCCAGCTGCAATCTCTGAGCATTTCATCACAGCGCCAGCTCAACTCGCTTACAATCTGCGTAAAATTTAGATGATTGATGGTTTCCAGAGGCTGGTCATGAAGTGTCTCAAATACATCGAAACGTGTTGTGGTCAGAGCATCATAGGCGGTCAGCACGCGTTCAAACAGTGGCTGCTGTGCAGCACTTATGTTATAGCGTCGACTAACCTCGGGCAAACGAGACCAGTTTAAGCGGTTCTTGTTGCACACGATTAGCACGGGAAAGGCAATGTTCTGAATAGGCCAATGCGAGTCCGCAATTAGTGTGTGGAACTGCTTGAGATGATATCGCTCCCCAAGCAGATAGCTAATATAGATGAGTACAGTGAAGGCAGAGAGTAGCGCCAAAGTCCAGAGTAAACTGCAGATGAGCTGATCAGTTGACTCAATCATAAATCCAACTTCTTTTTACTCGTTTCACTCACCGCATACGACGTCTCATTTTGGGCCAGAGAAGCTGATAGAAACCATGAATGTGTGATCCATTGTAGGGACGGAGCAACTGCATCAGGGCTGCTTCACTGCTCGGCTGCTGGTATTCCTGCCATACCCGGATTGGCAGTCGATTTCGTTTCACTTTTCTCACTTGACGAATATGCATTTTGTGTTCACACTTTTGTAGGTCAAGCCTTTTATACCTTTCGCGATTATAGCTACATACCCTGAACAAAGAGGGTGTTTGAAATAAATTGGTAAATACATTTTAGGATTCCTTTCTTCTCAAAAATTTAGAAAAAAAATACACATCTATTTCAAAAGGTTCGGAAGAAATTCGCGAATAAGGCAGAAAAATTTAAGAAACATCCTGAAGTGATTTTTTCAATAGGATGCTCAATTTTTTGAGTAGCTTAATATGAAAGTTTAATAGAAATTTAATGAAATAATATTTGGTTGATCTTAGCTTTTAGCTAAACTTACGCAAGAATTTATGCAAGTCTGAAGTTTCTCAGAAAGAGCATTTGATTTGTGTCAAATTTTTTTGAATTTCTCTAATCTCTGTTTGCAAATCATTGAAAGCATTTAATTGAATTGACAAACAGTTTGTCCAATTAGCTTGACATATATAGATACAAATAGTTGTATAGCGTAGAAATCACGAATGTAAATGTTGTCAATCTTGTCCCCTGGGCAGGCGTCAAGCGCTTTGTCATCGATTGGGTCCAACTTGACCTTTGTGGCAATGGTTGCCGCCAACGATTTTAATAGGCGTTAAGCACGTTAGCGCCCAGGACATGGTTAAGTATCTAATTATCACACACAAAACATTCCAACACGCAGACCCCAAAGAAATCGCACCATATAAAAGACCATAAATGAGCTTGCAACGGATTCAGTTGTTGATCAGCCATGACGCTGGCCTATTATCCGGCGGCACGTTCACTGCACCTGCAGTCCCGTTCATTACCGCGTCGCTATGTCCTGCTGCGTCGGTTGGGTGCAGCCGCCTGGCAGCTGGCGGTGACCTTTGGCAAACGGACCACGATCCATGGCCTGGATAAGTTACTCGCAGCACGGGCCAGTCGCTGGGAGCGCTTCGTCTGGCTGTGCACGTTTGTGTGCGCCTTTTTGGGCGCCGTCTATGTGTGTCTGATACTCTCGCAAAGGTTTAGCGATGGCAAATTCCAAACTGTGGTGGATAGCACTCGTTATCCGGTTTATCGCATACCGTTTCCGGTCATCACCATTTGCAATCACAATCGCCTCAATTGGCAACGTTTGGACCGGGCCAAGAGCCGATTCATGGCCAATGTCAGCGATGCCGTGCAACTAAAGCTGTTTGAGCGCATTGTCAGCAGCTACGATGATATGTCCTTCGGTCATTTTGAGTCCTTTGGCCAGTTGCGCACTGAGCCCACACATCAACTCAGCCACATTAATTTCAGTTTGGTCATTGACTTTATGTCCTGGACCTGTGATGAGCTTCTCACCGATTGCAAGTGGCGACATTTTCCGTACAATTGCTGTGAGATCTTCTCGATGCGACGCAGCAAGAATGGCTTATGCTGGGCTTTTAACTCTCTGGAAACCGTTGAGGGCAAACGCATGCAGCTGCTAGATCCACTGTGGCCCTGGCGCACTGGTTCCGCCGGCCCAATGAGTGCGCTTTTCGTGCGAGTTCTCATACAGCCGGATAAACACTGGCCGGGACGGCGCAATGAGAAGGGTATCGATGTAATGGTCACGGAACAGTATGTCTGGCACAAGGATCCGTTTAGCATACCAGCCGACACCAAAGTCGACATCGAGCTTGACCCCACAATTTACTTTTACGACAACGACACACGTTCCGTGAGCTCTGATCAGCGTCAATGTGTGTTTGATGTTAGTTTTCTTTCTGTTTTCCTCTTCACTTTTTTGTAACTAAAGTGCGATTTCAATTTCAATCATAACTGCACTTTTATTCCAATCTTCAAAATTTCACTTGATTAATCAATATTTTACTTTAGCTATATTCTGCCATTTTATATGCATTACAGCTGCTCGTGCTTTTGCACAGCTCGTTTTTCGAGACCTTTTATCGGTCAATACTTTTTTCAATTGATTTTTTCGCGTTGCGATTTGTGTTAATTAACTATTTATTTAAGTTTTTAATAGAAACATGCTGAGAAAAAAAGCATACTTATCAAAATTGTACATTTACTTTATGGCGCCTTAAACTTGCTATACGCATCTTATGATTTTTATACATATTTTTTTGCTGCTCAGTTTATGAACAAAAATTTTTACAATATCTTCCCTAATACATATGCACACAACTTTATCAATTTTAAATATGACGCACTATTCAATTAAATGTTGTAGTAGAAGTTTAAGGATGCTCAAATTGAAAATCAACTTATTTTATTTGAATTTGATAAGCAATTTAATCTGTTTGCAGGACGAGCACAACAGTCGGGACTTCAAATCGTTGGTGGGTTACATTTACATGATTGAGAATTGCCAATCGGAGTGTCATCAGGAGTACTTGATGCGCTACTGTAATTGTACAATGGACTTGCTTTTTCCGCCGGGTAAGCACGTTCCGTTTAACCGCAATACAAGACTTGAAACTCTGTCCTTGCACTTGCAGGCCAGTTTCGGTCGTGCCGCTCTCAGGACTTGTACTGCCTGGCCCAACACAATGGTGCGTAGTAGCAAACTGTGACTTACTATCATCCCAGAGTGGTCAGGTCCTCTTCTGAATGCACATTTTCACAGATAGGTTGCTCTACTACCATCAACCGGGCGAGGACCGTTTAGTGCGCAACAATTATGAGGGTATGGAATGTAAATGCTTTCGCAACTGTTACTCGCTCAACTACATCAACAGTGTGCGTCCATCTTTTCTGCCGCCGGAAGTGGTCGGCAATTCATCATATGTGGACTTGGATGTGCACTTCCGCTTTGAGACCATGATGGTCTATCGCACTAGTTTGGTCTTTGGCTGGGTCGATTTAATGGGTTAGTAGTTGCCAATGAAAAAAATCAAAGTATAAGGAAGAGTCAGTGATTGACTTAATCACTTCGCAATACTCTTTCACTGGCAATCATCACTCATTATTAATTTTATATTTGCTTCTTATTTTGGTTTAAATTATTTCTCTTGAATTATTTTAATGACTTAAATTATCCGCACATTTAATTTATAGCAAGAGCACTGATAACAATGCAAATAAACAATGTATACTCTATACTTAACTCTCAATTTGAATTGTATTCTTATCTGTTTCAATTTAAAATTATGCTTTTTATAATTTATTTTGTATATGTATAATTTCGAATATTATTACAACTTATCAATTTTATATTTAAAATATATTTTGTAAAAGTATTTAAATTTTCATATTCATTTCGACATATGGAATTGACAGTTAATTAATGACTGTCTGGTATAAAATACTATTTTTTTTAACAGTTAGTTTTGGTGGCATTGCCGGACTCTTTTTGGGCTGCTCGCTCATTAGCGGCATGGAGCTGGCCTATTTTGTGTGCGTCGAAGTGCCCGTAGTTGGCCTTCTGGGCTTGCGTCAGCGTTTCCTAGCCAAGCGACGCATGGATATGTCAGTGAACACGCCCACGTTGAAACTACGATCGGGTGTGCCCAACCAGCTGGAGCATTACATAATGCAGCTAAAGACGGAGCAGGCACCACAGAAATCGACAGCCAAATTTCAAAACTGGCAACGCCATACGTTCGCCCGTAAACATGTTATTAGCAAATGAATAATGTGCACAAATAAACCAAATATTTGCGTTAAATTGGTGCGAGCTTGAGGTCTAAACAAGTGGCTGCCAGCCAGCAGCCGCAGCTGGCAAGCCAACAAACAAATTGTGCTCATTTTTCAGACTCGCACAGCCAGGACAGCCACCAAAGACGACCTGGTCTGGGGGAGGCCTGTTTTAGAGTTTGGGGTTGTTCTGGCCGCACGTTGACAGCTTCATTGCCAGACATTGTTAATCAAAATTGAGGTTAAGTCGTGCTCCCAAGCGCAACTTTTCCAGTTTATTGAGACATGTACTTGACTTTCTGAGAGGCGAGTCGAGCCGAACCAGGAGCCGTGGTCGCCTCAGAACCCCTTTGCAATTAAGCATAGTTTGTTTGCTTGTGGCTGTTGTGCTTGTTGTCTGCGGTGCTTGTGGTAGGTCAGGCTGTCATGATAGCCGGGTCCCAATTGGGGCCCTTTGCGATACCCGCTTGGCTTTAAGTTCACATTATTTACCCTGTGCTATGTCAGCGAAGGCGTATGTGTAATTTTATTTACACAAAAAAGGCAGCAGTGCGCACTTTAAATGCATAAGCCACATGAATTGTGAGTTGCACGACCAAAAAGGCACAGCAGGCAATAATTTTTCATTTCAATGTCGCGACAGCATTTATATATGTGGCACGGGGCGTTTCCGGGTTGCATGTGGGGAATGTGAGTGTGACGCATACCTGCCACAAAACGAGCCTCAAACTGTTGACAATATGTAAATGTTTGATTGGGCCTATAAGTTGCTTGAATGCGCTGCAAGTGAAGTACGAAATATAATGCCGAATTCGACGATAACAAAATGTAAGTTAAATAAAATACAACAATTTAAATATTGATAGCAATTAAATCTAATCGGACTACTGAACTGTAAGTGACACTTTGAAAAGTCTTTATGTTTGTATAATTTTAATAATAACGAAGCAAATACGAAATTCTCCTTTGGATGCTGCTGGATGGTCGAAATTCAAAGTAATTTTGTGTAACCCAATCAGATAGAGACAAAGATACAAACTATCGCAATCACATTTATTTATCATCTGTTATAAAATTTATGTATTTATTACTATCCCGAGTATTGAAAGGTCGGGAATATTATAGAGCACGCAAAAATATATGCCACACACGCCTTGCCTCCAGATCCAACTGGCAGGTCACAACATTTTTGCTGTGCAGCCAAGCAAAAAAAATTGAGATTTTTTGAAAATGTACCCACATTGAACTTATTGAAATTCAATGGCTGCATGCACGAAAATAACTGTAATTGATTACCAAATTAGTTGCACACGAGCAGTCATAAGTCAAGAACAAATATGGCCAACGACTTTTGACTATGTGGTACTATAAAATATTATCACAATTGATTTATGTCAAGCGAGGAAAATGTACTCAATGCCAACAAAGGGAAAATAACAGAGTTGGCTGCCAGGCAGGTAAGCCATCACACATTCACTCTGTCATTCAGTCAGTTAGTCAGTTGGCGAGGTAAGTCGAAGTTGTTAAAATATTTGCGCTGTCAGTCGTTATTTGGCGTAGTTGCGCTCAACTTGTCAAATTGTGTTGGCTGCAATTGAAGGCAAATGCAACGCGGCAACGCAAGTAGAAGAAGTTTACCAAAGGAAGCCTAATAAATGTCAAAAGCGCCTTTCAAGTTGGCTCAACGCCAAACGGCGGCTGTCAAAATGGCGACCGCTTAACATATTCATGACATAATCTGACATGGCGGCAACACATGGGTCACAAAACATGACACAGATGTCGACTGCAGAACTTTTGACAGTTCACGCTTGACGAATGGGTTTTCATTTTATTAAAATGTTCGCTAATGTTAAGTAATTAGAGAAATTAAAATATGAAATTTAATATGCAAATGATGTACAGTTGACGTGCCAGTCGAGAGTTGGTAAGTTTGTAATTTATGCCAACTACAGTTGCCTCCAAGCACATTTATGCCTAATTGATTTACGGATAACAGCCGCCAGAATGGGATACACATCTGTTATTATACACATGCGTTTGAATATGGCTGCTCTGGACTTGGCCGTCCATAATTGCAAGCACTTGTTAGTTAATTAAAAATGCAAATAAGACTGCAGCTTGTCCATTGAAACTTTGGCATCCACTGGCTCATATGTGTCCCTGTCGGAACGTTAATCGAGCGCGTCAGATTTCGCAATTTAAACTTTGCCCATTGCCAGACAACATGAAAATTGTATCCCGGAACCCCCAAATACACAAGCAAAACATGCAATATGTCGTTGCATACAATCAGGCGCCAGTTCTGGGCACAATGGAGGACTGAAAGCTGTTGTAAATTTTAGCTTTAAAAGTTAAAGTTTAAAGACTGATTATAAATATTAATGAATGTGAGAGAGTCATAGAGAAACAATTATTAATATGAAGTACAAATTATGTATATGTAAATAATATAAAGAATAGTTTTTAATATATGGAAATCAGTATTTTAGTAACGGATAATACAAAAGATAATAAACAAGATTCCCTGTTTAATCTTTTTACAAGTATTTAATATATGCTTACTGCGTTTATGTACAGAATATGTACTATATTTAAAAATATTTTATATTTTTCTGTCAAACACCTTATTATTACCACATTTATTTTCAGTGATAAAAACTACAATTTTCAACGACGTATACGAAAAAAAAAAATTAAAAAACTTTAAAACAAACCACCAAATCTGGACACCTGCAGTTCACTGTTGTTGTTGGAGGCCACAACAATTAAACATGGGTTTCAGCTACCAGGTGACGCTGTAAAATGGCCAACTTACGGTCCTTTGTTAGCCAGCACCCATTTTGGATAGACGAAACTCGCCAACTGTTGACCAAAAGTAGTTGGAAAAAGCGTTGACGTGCACCGGGTCGATGTTAATGGTGTGTGTTTTGTAGCAGATAAATGGGAGTTAATTACCTTGGTTAAATAAAGTAAAAGGCTAAACTCGCCAAAAAGTAAATGCTTCAATTCCCGCTGACTCATGACGCGCAACATATAATGTCCGAATTTTGTTAAATCTTTTGACAAAGTCATCTGCAAAAAAACTTTTAATTAAAAATGTCCCCAAAAATGTGTATGTTAGATGGATTCGGAGAATCCCTTGAGGCAATGACAAGCCAAAATCAATAGCCATAAGGCACACTAACAAGACGACTATAAGTCTTTCGAATTGCGACTAACAAGCAAAAGACACAGGACACAGCGACAAATATTTGACCTTATGATAACGTCGATAAGTTCCACTTCTTACCTGGGCAACATGGCCCAATTATTTTGCTTCAGTGGAGCTGAAAATACGACACACGCCCAGCCACAGGATTTAATAAGCTACCCAACACTAGACACTGGGGGTATCTATGGCAACACACAAGTCGTGCGTCATGCCCCGAGTGTCATGAATAATTATGCAACCAGAAAGATGGAATATATGTATATATATATATGTGTAAAAAAAAAAACCGAAATAGATATACCTTTAAGTGGCACTGACTGTATTTATTTACAACTGGCCTTCAATAAATAAAATAAATGAAACCTAAAAATATTTTGGTACTTTAAATTATTGGCGAATATTTAGTATTTAATTAAAAGAAGTGAAGAAAAGAATAGAAAAAAATATGGCGAAATCAAGGCTCATGCAACAGCTGATGTACCCGTTGGCAACAATATCATAACAAGCACACATGATTTATGATATGTAAGCTGGACGAAAAGAACTTCGCTTATGCTTATGTACTTCAATTGCCATCCATCAAAACGTCTCGAGCTGCTGGAGAACCTGAGCGAACACAGCGACATCAAAAGCAACCACCGACCGCAAAAGTAGAAACCACACAAAAATGTGCGCCTTGCTGTTTCTATTAAAATATTATTAAAAGCAGAAAGGAAGGGCGTGCGTTGTCGCGTTGACAATTCGATTGTTCCATTATTATTGCATACTTTGTGGCATATTTTGAGCTTATGAGCAGGCACTTTCGGCAACCTTATCGGCTTTGTGCTGACGGATTTAGTTGATGAAGCCCGGCTGCACTTTGATGTCGCACAAAAGAGAATTGCAGCCAAATCTAAAGCAGACGACTTTTGCCTTTGAAATATCGCAAGCAATGCTCCCGTCAAATGAAATATCAAGGACATCTGTTACAGTAAGAAAAGAAATGCTGGCGACCCAGCATCATATATGCTAGTGTGTGTGTGTCCCAATGGACGCTAGATTAACTCTTATTTCATGCAGACACACTCAAATGCAAAGAAAATAGAAGAGACTGCCAAGAGGATGTGGGAGGCAGAAGCAGCTAGGAAATTGCACAATAAGCCAAAGAGCGGAAAGTTGGAGTTGTAATGCCCGGCGTTCAACAATAAAATGCAAATGTCACTTTGAATGTTTCCTTTGGCAATAAATACAGGGTTATCAATTGGATTGTGTGCCCAGCAAAATTGAATCTAGTTTTAAAGCTGAGTTTAATTTTTATCTAAACATGTTTTTACAATTTGCGTTCAACTAGTTAAATAATAAATGCCTAAATTATAATTAAATATATTCGGTTTCATGAAACCTTACAATTTTAGTTTTCACTTATTTTCTTTAGATTTTAATCTTTTATATCATCAGTTGTATCACCCTGTAAATTGTAAAGCATACGGAAAACTGTTCACCAGCAATTTCCTGCAACAATTTTTCTCAACTTTTTTAGCCGGCCAAAGATTAAAGGCTTAGAGCACTTCAATTCGAATACGATTGCCTTCGCATAAATCACACACCTACGTCAGCAAAAGTTTTTACTACTACTATGCGTAAACGGTGCCCTTGACATTTTTGCTAAATGATGATGATGTTGAAATTGCGAGTGTGAGTTTCGAAGACAGTCGCTGACATTCTGACATTCTGAGCGTGCCTGGCAGCTAGACAAACTTTGATCCACTCAGTAGTTGAAGGACTCGAATGCAACAGCTATTAAT